AATAATATAGTATATTTGTTTGTGACTGTGACCATTTTTGAAAATTACCCGCTGGTCTTTCCCTTAGTTTTTAAGCTTTCATTAGCAACCACTCAAAGATTTGACTTTGGTCATACCTTGAAGAAAATGTGAGCTCTACTTGATCACATGTACCATTATATAAAACTACCCAATGATGGTGTTCTCTGGTCTGGATGGTTTCATGGCAGTCTGTGATGTTTTAAGTAGTCCAGGTTGTCCAGCCCTTCATGCTTCTAGCTTGGTTTACTCTATGTTTGTGACAAAATGTCTGTATTTTTGAGTGAATATCACACAGTTGCTTGTTGTACTGACAGTTTTGTTGCAACCCCTCCTTACAATGCTACCTTCTCAAGAAAATAATGTTTAGTACTGCTGGTATGCTATTTTACTTTGCCATTACTTTGCAAAGAGCCTGCATTAATTAATGCAGGCATCAATTTTTTTCTTTTAATTAATATAATTTCAACAAAATGTGTTCTATGTTGGTATTACAAAAACATAAACTGAAGACCTAAACCTTTTATCTTTGACTCCATAAATAAAATAAATTCATTAGAGGAGCCTATGCAAGAATTTATTAATTTCAAGTTCAATAGATTTAATTAACTGATCAATATTTAGCAATGTGGCAATATTTTATTTTGATAAATTCATTTGTCAATGAGATAATTTCTGTGTTTTTTGTCCGTCCAATACTGCCTGAAAGTGCTCTAAAACATCAAAGTTCCCCCTCCCTACAGAAGGTGGTGGCCTCATTCCCTGATCTTCCTCTCCCAGCATGACCACAGCACCAGATGGGCAATGCCCACCTTGATCCAGTGGCCTTTTTTCTGAGTTTCTAATAAGTCTTACCTTAATACTGCAACAACACGCACCATGTTTCATGTACTTTGCAAAAAAAATGAACATACCAATAATCCAGTGTTTATTAACACTAAGTTTCTGCCTATAAACTTTTTCTATTATAAAACTTTATGTGAATTGATGCATTACGTTAGCACTCCTTCAGCACCGATTAACATACATTCCTGTAGTTTTGCCATGACTGCTATCATGCAAGATGATCTCATGATGCAACATGATGATTGCTCATAGCTTGAGCTTGGACTGCTTGTGTCCACAGTAGTTCATCTGTTAACTTTTTGAAATGCTTGCTAGAGCAATAGACCAATCTTTCAGGTTTGGAGTTGAGCAAGTGCTCCCAAATTAAACACTATTTGATCCCTCAAGAGCATTGCCAAAAATCATGTTTGATGGTTTCATGCTCAAAAGTGTTTTTTCTGTGAACAATTTCTGTCCATTTCCTTATATAATTACATAATCTTTCATGCTTGATCATTTTTGTTTTCAAATGCCTATATAATCGCAACCATCCATTAGTAGCTCAGGAGAAAAAACATTGGTACACCAGGGTTCGATCCCATGACCTCCGGCAGTTTTGCCACTTTGCCAACCTGCAATTGATGAATTAGTCATGAAAAACTCATAGTTACCTGCTTTGATTGACAACCATGGTAGGCTCAATTGATTGACACAGCGGGCCACACATTCAAACGTTGATTGAGATTATGCTGGAAATCACTCTATTTGCACAGCAAATGACTTTTTTACTTTATTGCTGGAAATCACTCAATTTAGGCCCAGTTCAGACACTGAACCTTTCATGAGCCAAACATATATATAATTCAAATTTGGACCGACCCAAATTATCAAAAGTATGCCTTTTGATTCAGACGTTAAACTTGATTTGCTGAACTTAATTTAATTTGAACCAAAACACATCAAAACATCAGCAGTTTTCAGGCAAAATTTAAACTGCTTGTAAAATAAGTTATAAAAATTCATGCATTAGGTTTGGCACATGAAAACTGCAATGTCTAAATCAAGCCACTCCAAAGTCGAAATTCCCAGCTGAGGTAGGCAAGAAGAACAGCTGAGCCATTTCAATTTCAAATAACCGTTCTTAACTGATTGAGATGCTGAACTTTTCATGTGCTTAATTCTAGGTATTGGGTTCAGCTCATGAAAAGTCTGGCATCTGAACTAGGCCTACCTCAGCAAATGACTTGTTTTACTGGCCATATTATCTATTAATGAGTGTCATGAGCTGGCTTAAAAAGCCTTTTCATCAAGAATTGTTACTAAACCATGGATTGAGATACCATGCTCTCTGAGAGGACTATTAATAAATCATTCTAGCTCAGAATTCAAAAATACAGTACAGCCCAAAAATAATGCACGCACAAGAAGTGGCGCAAGAAGTTCTTGCGCCGCAAGAAGTAAAAGTGTCAAGTTTTTGCGGTTTACCCGCAAGAACATTCAAAACGCAAGAAGTTGAAAGTCTAACCGCAAGAAGCCGCAAGAAGTTGAAAATCTAACCACAAGAAGCTGTAAGAACTTATGAATCATACTGAAAGCCAGAAGGTGCAAGAAGTTGATGCAGGTCAAACTGTCTGTTTGTTTATAAGTGCCATGTTGGTGGTCGAAATGCTCAGTGCTTGCTGGCAATGTTATCCATAAGATAAGTCACTGCAGTGGGAAGAGATATTTTTTGAACAGCTGAGACCAACTCTGGATTTATGTTTGCTTATACTGTGAAAATAATATTGAACACACTTGCTTATTACGTACTCACGTGTTGATGACACCAAGAGGAAAAAAGCCCTTTGATCACTAGAACAGTCTGCCAGCAGATTACATGGCAATCAGGATACATCTCCAACTAATGAAGCTCATGAAGAAACAATCCACGTAGAAAAATCGAACTACAGTGTCATTAGCTTGGGTTCCACCGGTTTTGCTTCTGAATGCAAATTCATTGTCATTGAGAAGTGGTTTCTTCTTCTTGCGTAATCTGTGAGCGAAGACAATTTTCATTCAAATGTTGTGCTGAACTGCAAACACTGAAGACTGCACGTGTAAACAAATCAAGCACTACGATGTAAATTTCTTTAAGAACTTTTCGCAGAGTTATTATTACAGGCGAAAAGCTCTTGCAGAAAATATATTTTGTGTTTCTATAAACAAACGGTACAGTAATCAAGGAAACTAAAGTCGACTACGGAAGCGAACTTCATAAATTTTACCCTGTTTGCAATGCGGTAAAACATTACCAGTATGTTGTGATAAGTACATAAACCGGAATCTCTTGAGTTTGCCTTGTGCATTCCTCTTATCTTGTAGAGAATACCATTGAATGAAATATTTTAAGACAGCATTCACTGAGCTTGAATAAGTAGGTTGTTGTGATGCCTTGAATTTGCATAAAGTTTCAGACACTACTGATGCATCAAAAAGTCACTTTTGTCATGCATGCATAGTCCTGTGCTTGTTTTTGCCGACTGAGAAACTTGCTTGTTTTAAAATTTGAGTTACACTTGGAAGCTACTTCCCAGTAAATATGTTGTTCTTTAACCTTTGCCACAGGGGCTATTCTGGACAGAAAAAGCCATTTCAAATAAGTTCATTTCACGCTGCTACCACACTGCAGGTCTGGGACTCCAGGACACATCGTAATAATAATTGTAAACAGTAAAATTTCCTCCATGTCACCTAAAAACAAAACAAAGTGAACCCAGTGTCTAGTTCAGAACCAACTGAAAAAAATGTACTGTAACTAAACTGATGAAAATAATTATAAACCAACAAAAAGCCAAAGGCCTTATCTGTCTCAATCTGTAAAGTTATTTTGAGACACTCTCAATTCACAGGTTGCTTAGCACATGACCAGAATCTTCCCACTGTCAGTGATGAAATCTACCGAATGATTTATTCGTGGAAGAAAACTCTCTCCAAGAGTGACTTCAACAAGGCTTAGCCTTTTTATGGCTTACACTTTAGAACTTTATAATATATCATTAAGAAACTTCCCAAGACCTCTTGTGTTACGGTAGCCATATACGTAGTAAGGTCAACAATCCATTTGAAACATTTCTTAGGTGGTTCGAACGGTATGGTATAGCTGCCAGTATCATCTGAATTAACAGGCATACATTTCAAAATCTGGGTCGGTCCAAATTCAAATTGAGTTCGACTCATGAAAAGTTCGTTGCTTGAGCTGAGCTTAAGGGTTTAAATTGTCAAGAGTTTTGTCGCTTTAATACTTCTTACGATAAGTGCCGGCGCTGGAGAAATATAAATTCGACTGTTCCTGGCGCCTTGGTGAGTACCGTCTTGATACGGATCTTCGCGTACTAAGATGTTAGCCCAAACAAGTTCTTGTGGTTTGAAAATCCTACCGCAAAGAAGTTCTTGCGTTTTGAAAATCCAACCGCAAAAAAGTTCTGCAGTTTTAACTTCTAACTGCAAAGAAGTTCTTGCATCTCGCAGGATCTAAGTTCAAGCAACCCGCAAGAAGCCGCAAGAAGCCGCAAGAAGTTTCCGGCTTGCAGACGCAAAAAGAAGTTCTTGCGCATGCAGTATTTTTGGGCTGTACTGTAGTATACTGCTAAGTGTTCTCGAAGAAGATTCATTTATTGAGGCACACAAGACTACACAGTTATTCTACGTACAATCAATTAAGCGTTAAGTCTTCTCTCATTATTTCCTACCTTTCTATTTTATTTCTTTTTTTTTAATTTTTTCTATTGTATTTGTATTTTTTTCTATTTTATATTGTAATGTATTTATAAATAAGATCCAAATATTTGTAATTAGATTATAATAGACTGACCCGCCTAAACTGTCCCTTGCTATCTGCGGACCAGGCCAATTGTAACAATTTTATTTTTAAATGAAGCTGAGGATGATGATGATTATTATTATTATTATTCTGATGATGATGATGGTGGTGGTGGTGGTGTTGGTGGTTGCTTACATGAGCTTTGACTGTTTTTGCATTTGTGCTCCTTTCATGGAGGAATGTCTAACTTTTAATATTATTTGGGTGATGTACGTTAGTAAGTAAAGGTTCTGCTTTGCAATGGCTTTCTTGTTAGCAATTCATCCATGTTATTATTTAATGTTTTCATTTCTCTCAGGCGCAGTACGCTATGCTTATTGACATTGCTCACAATGTTGTATTGTACACAGAACCTAAAAAAAAGGTCAGTCATTATGTATGTTTATTCGATGTGCAGCTTAATGTCATGTCAGATTTAAAAAGTTCCTTTTTGTCAACAGGAAGCATTTGACAGACTTCAGAGAATGAGGTTCCAATTGCGTCTTTCCACGTCTGAAGATCAGAGAGCACAAATTCTTAGACTACAGAATACTGTTAGGTAAAGAAAATTTAGTATGCATACATGTATAACTAGTCCATCTTGGTGCTAGCTTATTCCATGCGTTCCTCTATGAACTTAGATCTTTTTCTCATGACTGGAAAGTACATGTCCTATTAAAGACCTAGTTTGGGATAGGGGCTCATTTCTTCATTCAATCAGTTTAGTAACTAATTATATATATATTTGTATTTCAATGTTTATCTCTTTCATCGTTCATTTGCTAGGTCTCGTCAAACTGACATGCGACGACTAGAGCGAGAGTTGTATGAAGTCAACTTGCTAAGGAAACAAGCAAGCGATAATCAAGAGTAAGACCTTTTTTACTGTACGAAGCTAATATACTGATATCTTAAAACTGCCATTGTTTTAACACTTATGTACAAATGTACTAAACCTAATTAGTATCACCCAACTAGTAGACTAACGCAAATCCTGCATTTTGACTGGCTACGCTACTAGAGGACTATTAGTAATAGTCCTTGAGTATCAAATTGGTGCAATTGAGCGTGACGCTTTATTTCGTTTTATTCCCAAATAAATATTTCTTCAACTTGCATTTGCTAACTTTATTATTGCCTTTTCTGTCCGACTAGTTGGGTGATACTAAAACAATTAGACCCTTTGCCCTCGTTGTGGCCACGGGTCAATAGCCCATTCGGCTTCACCCCATGGGCTATTGTTAATTATACCTTATGTTATAGTCTTAACAGCAAAATGATTATTAAATTATTTTGATTGTAGAAGTGTTCTTGTTAAAGCTAGGATTGTCTCTTTAAAGCTACACTGCAATACATGTATTTGCTTGTTAAAGCTATTTCTTCTTAAAACTAGTATCATTCTTGTAAAACTAGTACATTTCAGGCTTCTTATTTCAATCGCATTGTTAAGTTATGGAGTTTAATTTGTACAGTTGTTCCCTTCTCCTGTTGTTTAAGAGAGGTTCAACTGTATTCTCTTTTTATTCCCTTTTTTGTTTTTGTTTTTACTATTTTAGACAAATTTTTTTCGTAGACATTCCCATTAAAGTTTACAGAAAAAGCAAACACTATTACTTATAATAATAATGCTTAACATAGGTACATTTATTGACCAATAATACTATTTACAGGGCTAGAACATAATTATTTATTCAAATTACCAGCAAAAGGAAACAAACAAATGTTTTCAGCTGGAAATCAAGTTGGCATCAGGATAAAACCAATGTTTGCATTGTTTTTTTGTTTTCATTCTAAGGATTCTGAAAGGTTTTCTATGCTTAGGTTGACTGATGCTGTTATTCAGCTAGAGAGAGAGATCACGCAACAAAAAGAGAAGCTGAATTCATCAAGCACTGAGCTGAGAATAATGATAAGGTGGTATATCATACTAGTATCCCATCTGCCAACAGTAGGCATTCAGTAGTAAAAGTGCTTCTATAACTACTCACTTGATACTGACAAAATTGGAGTTAAGAGCTTTGTTTTGAATTGCTATGATCTTTTAAATAGTGCTATTTGTATTGCTTTCTAGTTGTAAACTCCATCTGATCTATTATCTACGGTGGCTTCAAAGGGACATCAATAAATCAAACACAATTTTCTGCAAGTTTGAGTGTGACTTTGAGTTCGAGTTCGGGTTGGAGTTCGAGCTTGAGTTGGAGTTGGAGGTTGAGTTGGACTTGGAGTTGGACTTGGAGTTGGACTTGGAGTTGGAGTTGGAGGTTGAGTTGGAGGTTGAGTTGGACTTGGACTTGGACTTGGACTTGGACTTGGAGTTGGAGTCGGAGTTCAAGTTGGAGTTGGAGTTGGAGTTCAAGTTTGAGTTCGAGTTCGAGTTCATTCCCAGGATCTTCATGTTTTTCAATATGGCGTCAGATCCAGCGGCCATGGATAGCTAGCTAACTCAGGCTGAGTCGGCTCACTGCATGGGAACAAAGATGGTTATTCCCAGCTATTTACCAATAGGATTTAACGAATCCGTGAGCCCCGCTTACATTACATTGCACATTTTCTAGTGCAGGATTTTAGTCATATCCTGCACGCATTTCTTGTGGGTGTTTTGTTGTTCACACCCTACAGTAGGAGCGTACTTTGTACTACCAATATTTAGGATACAATAAGTTCCATCTTTGTATCTTGTAGTTTAATCCTGACGAAGTCTCACTAGCAGACGAAACCAGTCGATTAAAGGGGCTAGGTCACGCTATTTTGGGTAATTTTGATTAATTTTGTTTATTATGAGCTCTAAACGTCAAATTGGCAGAGCAAGAGTCTTTCATTTGCAAAATCACGGCCACATAACAACTGAGAATGATTTTCCAGCTGTCTAAATGACATTTTGATATAAACTGATATAAATTTGAAAAAAGGTGGGCCAACGTTTTACAAATTTACCCAAATGCAATGCATTTTAATCCTCTCCAGTTTTGTCCATCCATGTCCCTTGTTGGCTTTCCAGTGTTTTGTTTGAGATCTTCTATAGTTTTGAGCCGTTTTTGTGATATTTTAGTTAATTCTATGACCATCTGATCAGTGCTGAAATTGCCTAAAATTGCGGGGCCTAGCCCCTTCAATAAACTCAGTTGTACAAGATTATTAGTTGTTGCTGCGTGCTGCCCACAAGTATTTTTATTTTAAAATTTTAAAATCTTTTATTTTAAAATTAAAATTTAATATTGGTAAATAGCTGGGAATAACCATCTTTGTTCCCATGCAGTGAGCTGACTCAGGCCGAGTTAGCTATCCAAGGCCGCTGGATCTGAGGCCATATTGAAAAACGCGAAGATCCTGGGAACGAACTCCAACTCCACTAGAACTCAAACTCCAACTCCAATTCCAACTCGAACCTCTAACTCAAACTCCAACTCCAACTCCAACTCAAACTCAAACCTCCAACTCAAACTCAAACTCCAACTCCAACCTCAAACTCCAACTCCAACTTAAAGTCAAACTCAAACTTGCAGAAAATTATGTTTGATTTATTGATGACCCTTTGAAGCCACCATAATCATCTGTATTTGTGTTTAGCTGTTTGTGTTGGGAATCCCTGAGAAAAGTACATTGTGTATTTGATACCTTTTAGTGCTAATGTTCATTAACCTTTACACATAACTTGATGTGTTTTTTCCTAACCCTGTCCATGTTTGATTTTTTCTTCAATATTCTCAGTGCATACAAGGACTTCTTGATGAATTTGAATACACCTACACCCGAGAAAGGTGAGACTAAAATAAGACACTCAAAGAGCTTTTAGCTAACCTTATGTTTGAAATAAGACACAGAAATGCTCCTGGAAACATTCAAGATCTCTTTCAAGAGATTTCTGATATTCATTCTTACAATACTCGATCCTCTGTCTCAAATAATTTTTACACAAAGTTCTAGACTCTCAATTCAAGTGAATTCATTTTCTAGAATTGGAACAAAAATTTGGAATGAAATGCCTATATATTTAAGAAAGCTTCCAAAAAATGTCTTTAAGAGGAAAATAAAACAAATACTTTTTGAAATTCTNATGTATGTATGTATGTATGTATGGCTGTAGGTGGCCAGACTCAAACTGTGCCACGAGTAAAATCTTGTCACAGAAACTTGTTCTTTAAAAACGCACAGCACTATACCACCAAGAAAAATGACCCAGTCTTTGTCACTATTTTGGATTTGTTTCCTTGATTTAATAATGATGTGGTCGACTGAAATTACAATTACATAAAGCTAAATTACTAACAGCAGGTTAGTGGTTCTACATGGGACAGGAGAAAGACAAATTAGCTATGTACAATAATGGAAAAAAACATAACTGAAACAGGCTGAAATTAAATGCTGATGGAATAGACTTACTCACCAATATTTCTGGATTAAATCCTATCTTATGTCTTGACAAGTTCTTAAGCAATTTCTGATTCTTCGATCATGCGCGTTACTGATCTCATTCTATAATGCTATTAACTGGTTCTTATAACAAAATATATCCCACATGATATTCTGTAAATTATGGAACAAAACTTGATGATAGATACTTAGCTGCGCCTATATTGCAGCAGTTACATGGGTCCCCTAAATTTTTAAATTAATTTATAAAAAGGCGTCTCCTAGAATGCTTAGCTACTCTATGAAATGTCCAAACTAAAGGGAAACAACTAAAATAAAGTGTTCATTCAGCATCTGCTTCCGTCAGCATCAGCTTCACTTGGTATCACTGGAACCTGTTCAGCCTTGCGGGATTGGCTCCTCATCTGGGACACCCAGTCTTTCTTCTGTGTTATTCAGGACTAGGAGGACAAGCTTGTGGATTAGGTGCTCCAGGAAAGACACTGGTTTTGTTCGTTTGCCACTGCCAGAGAGATGGAGATCTCCAACAGCGAGGAACACCTTATGCACTAGCCCATTATTTCCCTTTCGAGCTTCTGTCACACGAGCTAGTTGCCACTGGGTATGGGGGTATTATCGTCTTTAATGATAACGACATCTCCAATCTGTAAGTTTCATCTTGGGCGCACCCATTTCTACCGTTCTTGTAGAGCATGGAGAAATTCTTTCCTCCATCGAGTCCAGAACTTGTGCGTTAAATTCTGGACGCGCCGCCATTGTTTCCTTGAGTACTGGTCGGCATCCTGGAAGGCTCCGGGGATGAAAGAACAACCTAAGTCTTCATGGTAAGAAGATGATTTGGGGTCAAGGCCTCTAGAGAAACAGGCGACCTGGTGTTGTCAGTAGTGAGTGGACAGCTGTTTATCACTGCTTCAGCTTCACACATAAATGTCTTAGTGCATTGTCGTTCAGCTGGCTCCAGTTCTTTTTCAAGAGCGCAGAGAGGATGCTTCTAACAGTCCCGATTTGTCTCTCCCACATGCTTTCCATGTGACTGGCTGTGGGAGCATTAAACTTTAATTCTATCCAATCACAGTTCATCTTCAGTAGGTCGGACTTGATCTTGTCTTGATCCATTTCACTGAGAGCTTCTCAATTCTCGTCTTGCACCAATGAAGTTTGAGCCTTGGTCTGCTCGAAGTTGGCATATAGGACCACACCTACAGAGGAATCGTCACAGTGTGTTTAGAAATGAGTCAGTTTCCAATGTATGACAGACTTCTAAATGAACAGCTCTAGAGGCCAGGCATGTGAAAACCATGCCATATCTTTTTAGTTCCTTGCAGCCTTCCTTAATGTACCATGGGCCGAAGAGATCAACACCACAGTAACTAAATAGAGGGGATGGTTCTAGTCTTTCTTCGGGAAGGTCGGCCATTTTTTGCTCTTGTGCCTTCGCTCGCAGTCGTTGGCAAGTAACGCATTTCTTTATGAAGGTTTAAACAGCACCGCTACATCCAGTGACCCAATAGCCAGAGCGAATTTCTTTGAGGGTAAAGCCTCTTCCTCAGTGCTGAGTCTTCTTATGAAAACCCTTTATCACAAGCTTGGTGACCTGTCCTCTTCTCGGAAGAATGACTGCGGTCTTTATATCTTCAGATAGGCTGGCTTGCTGAATTTTCCCACCAACTCTTAGAATCCCGTCTTTATCTAGGAAAGGATCAGGGCAGTAGAGAGTGCTTGCTTGTTTCACAACTTGATTTCGCTTTCTTGCTTCATCTCTTTTCTGTATTTCTTTGTTCGACCTGAGGGTCTCAAGTGCCTTGAACTTATTGTCGAAAGCCTTTCCTTGTATTTGCTTTATGATTTTGCGCTCAGCTTTCTTCAGTTCTATCCAAACCGGCTGGTACTTCTGAGTTGCGGAGTTTTTCACATCTTCCAAGGGGATCCCTTCCCTTGATTTTACTCTCTCTCTGAGTACTTCTAGGTATCTGCAGCAGGCAGCTACGGCTTTGCACAGAACCAATCTGAGAAATGATCTAGTCATTGTAGCAAGGATGCTGGGACTTCATTCACTGCTATCATGAAAAGAGAGATTTTCTTGACTTCTTTATCGTCAGGTGATAGCTCGAGAAGTTCATACTGTGAATCAGGGCTTCTCCGGCCTTCACTGTTCTCCCACAAGAATCCAGGTCCTTTTATCCATTGCTTCTTCCAAGGCTTCTTGCACTGAGACCGCGGGAGGCATCATCAGCAGGGTTATTTTTAGTTTCAATGTAATGCCACTGTTTGGGAGAAGTATGATCTCAGATTTGTTGCACACGGTTAGCGACAAATATATGGAACGAACAGGCATCATTGGTGATATATCCCAGGACAACTTTGTTGTCGGTCCAGAAAAATTCAATTACATTGTCGTATTCAAGCTCTTATTAAAGTGTTTGGCTGACTCTGACAGAGACAAGAGCGGCTGTTAACTCTAGTCTTCGTATCGTGACTGGCTTTAATGGGGTCACTTGAGAAAGGGAGCAGCAAACCCGAGGGGGTCATAGATCGAGCTCACGGTTGAAAGGATACCATATCCTGTAAGGGGCTTGTCCTTTAGTGTGATGCGAAATTGAAAAGCGTCATTCTCTACGCACCATTCAATCCCCAGTACTCGTTCAGAAGGAAGTTCTTTGTGCTCAAGATCAAGATCCTTGAAACCTTTGGTGCAGTCTTCGGCAGGAATTGAAGGCTTTCATGCAAAAAGGGCACATATAGCATTTTGGGCCAATTCTTATTTTTTGCTGGATCGAGCTAATTTTTGGCAGACTGACTTGTTTTGACACGAAGAGCATCGTTGCATAATTGTTTTTGTTGATTTGCGCTTCTTTTTCGAGAAATAACGTATGCAAAAAAACTCAGTTTTCCGAGTAGCATCCTTTGGAGTGAATCCTTCAAAGGTGGATTTTGACGTGGTGCGAACTTAAACAGTTACTTTTAGCAGCTTCAACAGCACGGTTTTTTTTTAAATAGATGTTTTGATTTTTGAAAGAAGTAGAGAAATAGACTGGAAAAAAAATCAACCGACCTTGTATCGAACCGGCGTCACGACAAAACAAACCCGAATCCAGCCCATTCAGCACCTTATTTGCTTGGGCTAACGAAACAACAGTATAGGATAATTATATGAATAATAAAACTAGTGGCAAATGCCATGCCTCGGTGACTTCATTGTCTAGTGAAACAAAAGGTTTCTTTTGTTTTTTGCGCAGCAAAAGATCTCCAAAAGATACCCTTAAAACACTGAGTTTTTTTGCATACGTTATTTGTTGAAAACAAAACACAAATCAACAAAAACAATTGTGCAACGATGCTTTTCATGTCAAAACAAGTCAGTCTGCCAAAAATTAGCTCGATCCTGCAAAAAATAAAAATCGCCCCATAAATATGCTATATACACCCTTTTTGCATGAAAGCCTTCAATTGCTTCAATTACTTCCTTTCAGTTTGAGATGAACTTGTGTAGTCGAAATCCACCTTCCTTACACATCAGTTTACTCTTCTCTATGAGGGAGATAGCTTACTTGACTGTCTTAACAGACTTCAAACCATCATCTACATAAAAGTTCTTACTGAGAAACTCTGCAGTTTCAGTTCCAAACTTCCTTTTGTTGTCTTCGGCAGTGGTTTTAAGAGCCAGATTAGTGCATCCTGGCGAGCATCTGACCCCGAAGAGATGCAGTCATTCAGTATTCCACAGGGTCTTTGGTGATATCGCCTTATAGTCTCGATGTTCCTCGTTGACTTTCACCTGGTGGAATATCCCTTCAAAATCGCATGCAAATGTGACAGGTTCTTGGCGAAAGCGGCACAGGACTCCCAGCAGTGAGTTGGTTAAGTCAGGTCCCTGCAGTAACTGCCAGTTCAGCAACTGGCCTTCAAATTCTGCAGAGCAATCGAAAACAACTCTGACTTTTCCCAGTTTCTTGGGGTGGTATACACCATGATGTGGGATGTACCATGACTTTGCATTCTTCTTCGGGGCTCTTTCAGTGCAACCAGCTCTGATCATGTCATTTATAAAGGAGATGTAATGGTCCTTGTATTGGGGGTCTCTAGCAAAGCATCTTTTCAGCTAATGGAGTCAGGTCTCTGCTGTTTTCCTGTTCGATGAAAGTCAATCTTGTCTTGGCAAAATGGCAAAGACATCTCATAGTGGTGGTCTTTGGTGAGGTGGATGCCATCTTTCATCTTTTGCAAGAATCTTTTATCTTCTTGTGACAGCGTCTTGCAGTGCCTTTGACCTTCCGAAAAATCTCTCTTGAACATTTTAGAGACTGTGATGGGATTGATTAATTCCTTGCATTGTGTTTGCTGAACAAAGCTTCATGTTGGAGTCTCTTCCAGGCTGATTTCTTTCATCGTTATTCAGAAACAGTCAGAGGCGATAATGCCATCATCTCCTTCTGGTTCGCTACTTGGGAGTAAGGCACCAATTAAGCCCCAGCCAAGACAGGGTTCGGACAGGTCCTGGAAATCCTGGAAAGTGTTGGAATTTTATTGTGGCATTTTCCAGGACTTTCCAGTCCTGGAAAATGCCACAAAGCTGCTGGTCCTGGAAAGTTCTGGAAATCTGTTAAACTCAAGTGAAAAATATGAAATGTATGCCAGACTGTAAGGAGAATTAACACTGAGATCTTAGTCCTCAGTCCTGGAAAAGTCCTGGAAAATTGTTTCTGAAAAAGGGTATGAACCCTGCAAGAGCGGTCCAAATAGCTTAGGGGTCTCTGGACTTTCCAGGAATTAACTCGCAAGGCTTGATCGCTTGAACGCAATTGTTGCCAATGAGTACACCAACCTCGAGGTCCTTATAGTACAGGGGAATCTTGTTCGCAATTGAACAAAGGTGCTTCCAGGCTTGCGCAGTTTCAGGTTGCAGAATTTGTTCCTTTCTGGCAGGAATTTGATCTCTGGTATATGATTTCGGAAGCTCAATGTTGACCAGCTTGTCATGGCAAGAAACAATAAGCCATTGATTTTCATAGTGTTATTTTCAACAGCGTGCATCGTTCCCAGTTGCAATGCCACTTCAGGGCCTGTAAGTCCGAGTTTCTCACAGGTGTCGTTTGTAATGAAGCAGGTGTCACAGTTGTTGGCATGACAAATGCTCATGCAACTGCTTGTTGCCTTGGTTGTTTCTTCTTCATTTGAGCCCTCTAGCTGTTCATCTTTCTTAGGCGTGACTGGTTCATAAAGGTGAAGGGCAGTTACATGGGGTTTCTTACAGATTCGACATCTCTTCTTCTGTTCGCATTGTCGTGTCATGTGTCCTCTGGCTAAGCACGCAAAGCACAGGCCCTTTGCTCCAGCGAATGCTTTCCTCTCTGTAACTGGTTTCTTTAAGAACTCTTGACAGTGCTCCAGTTCATGTGGCTTGAGACACAGGAAACACTTGTTTTTGTTTGGAGAAGATCGGTTTCCTGTGTTTTCATCGTTTCCGGCGCTAGTAGTGAAGGCTGTTCCAAAGCTAACATCGCTGTCTCTTTTCTTATCTGATGGGGGCCGTTTATGTTTGGTGTTGACTCCTTGCTGAATTTCCCTTGTTGTTGTGGCTAGGGCCTCGTGAGAAAAGACAGGATGAGTTGCATCAAACGCAGCTTCTTGGATGTAACTGACAAAGTTATGGAAGGTGTAGTCACCTTGCTTGCAGTCCATCGTCTTTGCATTATCTCTCCATTTATTAGTGTAATACGTCTGGAGACGAGCAGCTAATTCTCATATGAAGGAGAAGTTTTCAAACTCTTTAAGCTATTTGACTGTTTTCATAGTTTCTTCTGTCATCACTAAGAAGTTGCTGAAATCTTGCAGCTCAGTGGCTGCAGAACAAACAGGCCACCCCTTTAATTTTCTGCAATATACTTCGTATACCTTGAAAGGGTCGCCAAAGCGTTCCTTGAGGATCTTTCTTGCCCTGTGGTAGGCAGTCTCTGTCTGAAGGCCAAGTAAGCCACTGATCATAGTTTGAGCCCTTCTAGCCGTGTGTTCTCCCAGATAGTAAAGTTTGTGACTGGGCTTAACAGCATCCTCTTCGATTAGGGCATCAAAGGCACTTGACCGCTTCGGATTTTCCATGATCTTGCCACTAAAAACAGGCGCCTTTGAATGGCAAGCGTCATTTTCTTGAGGAGTTGAATCTGTCGACGCTGGAATTTGGTGTTTTTTTTTCTGGAGCAGTTGGGACTGGGAGAGAGTTACGTCTCATTTGTGACTGGAGAAAAAGTGGGAATGGGTGAATTCGCTTGCATCACCAGAAGGAAATGCTGGCCGCTCACCGAAACCCAGGGAGTTTTGGTCACGCTAGGCTTTTCCTTTTTATCAGAATTTTCATTTTCTTGCTCGTTATTGGATTTTTCTTCAACTCATTCCAGGACGCCTTGTCTTGCCTTAGGTGCGTCCAGCTCTCCTTGAATCCGTTCTTGCTCTTCTAAGCGTTCAAGCTCTCTCTGTTGACTTTTCAAAAGCTCTTGTTGCCGGTCAGGTTCTTGCTGTCTTTTGAGACTGTTTATCTTTGCCTGTAATGCTGTGGCTTCTGTGGCTGCACACATTGAAGATGACATCCATTGTGAATTCTTAGAAGTGCTTGTTCAGATGGAAGTATGCGATCGCTCCATCAATAATTCCATTCTCCCTTCTTCTAACATTTTAATATGTGCTTTGACATCTGTGACACATTCGACGAATGGATTAGATAGCAATGAAAAACAATCAAAGTTTCCAGTGTCATCTTCGTTCAATTCCAGCATAACATTATATACCGCTTCATGAAAGGATTTGAAGGAATCCATTTTCATCTGTAGACCTTCGAGGCCGGCCAAAAGAGCGATTATGTCACTTGATTGTCCTAACAATTCGTCTACGAATTCAGTCTGTTTCTTTAGAGCGTTTCCAGCTCTATCTCGTTTCTTTCGTGCATTATCTAGATCCATTTGAAGACCCTTTACAGATCGCGTGCGATTATGTTTATCTTTGAGATCTGACTCGCTTGCGTTTTGTTGTTCGCAAGAAGAGGACTTCTGTTTGATTTCAGTCATTTCATGGAATTCTTCAGAATTAATTACCGGTTCTATTTCACTAGTGGCTTCTGATACCATTGTTTTTCTTCATTTTCTTATGTTTTCACTTGCGTATGCAAGCTCCCACGTTGTCGACTGTAGGTGGCCAGACTCAAACTGTGCCACAAGTAAAATCTTGTCACAGAAACTTGTTCTTTAAAAACGCACACCACTATTCCACCAAGAAAAATGACCAAGTCTTTGTCACTATTTTGAATTTATTTCCTTGATTTAATAATGATGTGGTCGACTGAAATTACAATTACATAAGGCTAAATTACTAACAGCGGGTAAGTGGCTCTACACGAGAAAGACAAATGGAAAACAAACATAACTGAAACAGGCTGAAATTAAATGCTGATGAAATAGACTTACTCACCAAGGTTTCCGGGTTAAATCCTATCTTATGTCTTGACAAGTTCTTTAGCGATTTCTGATTCTTCGATCATGCACGTTAATGATCTCTTTCTATAGAGCTATTAACTGGTTCTTATAACAAAATATGTCCCACATGATATTCGGTAAATCACAGAATGAAACTTGATGATAGATACTTAGCTGCACCTATATTGCAGTGGTTACAGTGGCTTACTACAGTTTTGAAAGAGTAAAAGGGCCCAGCTTTTTAACTCTTTGGTAAAATGTTCCAGCTTGGTTGTTCCTTTTGGCTACCAGGTTTTTGAGGTTTTTCTTGGTTAACTGTCACAAATGATGGTGAAAGACTTAATCACATAGTACTTAGAGAGAGAAAACAACATCTTTGTACATCTTCCAAAGGGTTAAAAGTTGGGCTCTTTTACCTCTTCAAAACTATGGTAAACCACCCTAATGTCTTACTGTGAGGTACTGGGACAAGATCTTGTAGAGTGATAAAATAATTTTCATGCTCTTTTAGTTCCCACTACAGAGGTGACAAAACTGGCTGAGGTTTACTTTAATCAAGCCTCCTGGCAGCTGAATCAGGAAGATGGACAACTGGCCATAGCTGATACATCTTTGACTAACTTCAGGTAAGCTGAGTCCACTTCATGATAGGATATTCACAATAAAAAACATTGATTCAAAGAAAGATAGATTTGTAGACAAGTTGAAAAACATTTACATGTAATTAATGTATTACATCAAACATGATTTTTCAATCAGCAGTGTCAAGATTGTTTTCTACAATTTAAGGGATTAAAGGAGCCCACCTTTTTAACACCTTTTTTTTAAGTTTTTTTCCAGGAATGGCTAGTACTTAGAAATTTGCTCTGATTGAACAGCCCAGCAAAGTAAAATAGTCTGACAACAACATATTTTGGGGAAACTTGGAAATGTAAAATTTTGCATATTTCAAATATAGCATGAACATCGAAAATTAAACGAGACTTACCTCAAGTCAATGTTTGATTGGGATTCTGCCAAGTCATCAGTAGCACAAGAAGTCACATGAGAAAGCACCAGCCATCCGAGTGATCAGTCTTTAAAGCCTTGAGTGTGTTGATCAGGTGAGTAGTAGCACAAGAAGTTTGGGTGGGTCTATAATACTTCTACAGGGTATGGTTGTGACTTCTTGTGCTACTGATGACTCGGCAGAATCCCAATCAAACATCGACTTAAGGTAAGTCTTGTTTAATTTTCGATTCTGCCTCGTCATCATGCGCACTACAAAGTCACGTGAGATTTCAAAGCAACTGATAGCACA